CTTTTCCTTGGGAAAACTGTGGAGGCAGAGCTGTGAGGTGCTGGACTTTTATATATACTGTCATTAATTCTGGGCATGAAAACAAAGGTGAAGAGGGGGAAGAAAGAACTTTGTTATTAATACTGTTGCTTTTTGCCATTGGAAAATGCTGCCAAATCCCAAGATATTGATGGACTTTGGAATTTTAGCACAACATTGCCCGGAAAAAAAAATAAAGTGTTTTAGTAAATATTCTATAGTTTTTTAGTAAAATATTTATTTTGGAAAATGAGTTTTCCTCCACAAAAAGAAGAAAAATAAGATGAGAGGATGAATGAAGCTGTTTCTGCTTGTCTTTAGTTGTCACTGATATCTTGTTTGCAGATGTTTCTGTGCTGGTTTAGTCTGCTGTCCATCATCACTCAACAAAATGCTTTTCATGGAGTTTTTTTATCACTTGATAATTTTGGTTTGATATTCTGGAAGAAATTATTTTTCTGTGCAGCAAAGAGAAGCCTGTGGCTGACAGTCCTCCTGCATAAAAGAGCAAGTCCTTTCTTGTATTACCTCCAGGCAGTTTACCTGCAGGACTATTAATGGGTAAAATATTGGTGGCAGTTTCCAGCTGCCACAAAGCACTTAATTTCCACCACCACAAGATATTTAGCTGATCATCAGACAAATATTCAGCAAGCAACACATGTTTATTTACTAAATTGCAGCCCACTGGGCTTTCCAGAGACATGTCTGTGGTTAAATACCATACAGAAGTGTTCGCTATGTGGTAAATAATTTATGTAATTGTAGTACTGATCAGTACCTCTGTTTGTTCTGTGACAAGTTGTAAAGGAAGTGGCTGTATGAGCCTCTTCACTGCCCCCTCAGCCTTGCAGTCATTCAGGTGTCAGTCAATTATGGTAGAAGTTAAGCAGATTTACTAAATGGGAAACTTGTCTTTGTTGTCTGACAGTTTAAGTTTGGCAGCAATGCAATTAGTCTAATTTAACTTTTTTATTATGTACCTGTTGGTCAATAGGACAAAATCAACAAATAAACTAATGCATTGAAGCTCTTACAATCCAGCAGTGAGCTAACCTTAATTTCTAGCCTTTTCCAAGGAATTCATCGGATTAAATATTGGAGTTACTAATTGGATGCCAGAGAAGGGGCATTGTTTCTGGACATCTTCCTGGAAGATGCACTGAGAAACAGCAGTGTTCTCCTAGTGTACCAGCATGGGTTCCTAGTAACCCTCAACTCTCCGGGGTAATATATTAAGTATTTAAATTTTCTGGAAGAGGGCTAGGAAAGACTTGAAGGGACAGCCCTTTTACAGCTCCTTTTCTTCAGAGAAAGTAGTTTGATGCTTCTTCCTTTTCCCAATTTATGATTTCCCCAGATTTGTATACTTAAATAAGTTTGTCTCCAATCAAATTTCAGTGGAGGCACCTGTGAGTGATTTTCAGTTCCCCAGGGACTAAGGAATCCCAAAGTCCATGTAAGAGTGATGTTCCTAGGTGTGTTTTTGTTCCTTCCTACTTGAAGAATAATACTGGCTAATTCTAGATAGTGATTGTTAATTAATTATTGTGGACTGGAATCACAGCTGCATTTGAGACAAAGTTGGAATGTATTTATTGGAAATGAAATTTATTGGAAATGGAAATTTTAGCTGAATATATTTGGCATGTAACAAAGCCAGGAAGTATCTTGAGACTGCTGCATTTTTGTTGCACTTTGGTTTAGGTTTGTTGGTTAAGGTCTGTTCTTTATTTGGCCTCCTGCATGATGCAGTCCTGCTGTACGTCAAAGGAAATGTTAAACCATGGGGCTATTTTGTAAAAAAAAAAAAAAAAAAGTTAAATATGGGAAGGACATCTGGGGTCAAAGAGCACTTACTGCAATAAAATCCCTTTGTACAGTAGGCATTCAGTGAGGTGATTTTCATGGCTGTACACAGTTGGAGTTAACCAACAGGCTGCTTCCTCTTATAGCTTGTAGCTGGAGAGGTGTTTGCAGGACCTGTGAGCATATACCAGCTCTTTTGAGGTGATAGCTAAATGTTCTGTTTTAACTGTCACTTATGAGGTTGAGATCAATACCTCTAAATCAGACCCAGGCAGTTCTGGTTACCTTAGACACTTCAGAATAACCTTTTGGTTTGCCTTTTAACTCCAGGTCATTGTGAGACTGGTTTAGGGAGAGGTGCTGCTTGAGGGTAGGTAGGCAGAGGGAGCTGAGTAAGGTGCAATGGTTTTTTAATCTGACCAGGTGCAGCAACCTTATGGGTTACTGGCCTGGTGCCAGTCCTGTGTGGTTCAGACAGTTCATCAGCAGGCTGTCCCCAGACTGGCACTCTAGGAAAACCATTTTTGAATGTCTGGTGTCCTTCCCCCAGTTAATAAGCAGGGGAAATTCTTTAGGGATCTGTCTGTCCTGGGTCTTTTCCATTGAATTACAAACTCTGCTGGAAGACTTTCAGCAGGTCTACAGTATTTGGTGAAGAGAGCCCTAATTTAGTCCAAAACTGGGAATAGGAGTGTGGACATCATGCCTTGTCAAAGCTCATTATTCTAGTTGCTCTTTAGAAAGAAAACACATTTAGAAAGGCTGCTGAGCAGAGGGGAGAGATGTGGCACAAGAATAGGAGCTGTACATCCTAGGCAGCCTACTTTTGGTGCTTACCTCACTTGGAATATGCTTTCTGTTTCTTTTGAACATATGTGAGCACAATGCACCTTTGAAAAGTGATGTAGTTACCCCACCATCTTTTCGAAGTCCTGCTAAAATCCCCTTTGGACCAGCAAAAAAAGTCAGTATATGGGTAAGGAAAGCAAGTCTTGTCCTGAAAGCTGCTTTAATGCCTTCTCTGGGAGTTGAATTGTTTTCAGAGAGCACGGATGCCTCAGCTATACCACAAGGTCTTTCTCATAAGAGGGTGGCACTTGATGAAAAGTATGGCCACTTCTTCACCAGCCTGGAAAGTACCATGTTTGAGATACTGTGTCATGAAAGTAGCTCTGTTGTCTATGCAAGAGCTTGTGGAAAGGCTGTGGTGTAACTTGAGCCTGAACTTACTCAGCAGCAATTCTTCCCCAGGTAGCCTTGGGTCCTGCCGGTTTCACTATGAGCAGGCCTGTTACCATCGTATATTTATATAAAACAAAGAAGAAACTTGCAGTAAAATGTCAGTCCTTTGGGTTTCTGTAATTAGCAGGCTACTCTGACATGCACCTGAACCATCTGAGAAGGATAAAACTGTGCAATTTGGAATGTTCTTGCTCTGCAGATTTTAAATAATTTCTAGCAGGAAAATGTAAGAAACTAATGAGAGAACATCCAGCTTAACATGCAGCAAAGGCAGAGAGAAGCTGAGGCTGACCAGGTTCCTCTCATCCACAACTTTAATTGGTTAAGTGGCTTGTCTTCTTAGGAATGCTGGCTCAGTGTACATTGATGAACTGGGAGAGAGGAGCGTATTTTAGAAAAGCATACTCTATAGGTGCTGGAAAACTTCCACTATCAGTATTCTTCACTCAAATAGAGATGATTTTCCATGAAGACACTATATTTTAACAAGTTTTGATATATTTTTCCCCCCTTAAAATATTTTATTTGTAGCTTGTCTCCTACTTTCTGAAATTTTTGTGGGGAAGAAAACATCCAATTTTTAACAACATGACAGAGCAGTTGGATGTGTGTCCCTGCAATTGATTAAATAAAATAAATATGAAAGATAAAAGATAGTGGAAATGATTCTTAAATAACTGTCTGCATCTGCCTGCAGTCCAACAAAATAAATTGCTTCCATATTCTGGCTAGATGTCTTTCCTCCTAAACACAGGCCCCTTTATGGACTTCTTAATGAACATTGCAAAAGTGAGTATATTTAAGAGTCATAAGAACTGAACTATCAGGTACTTGGGGGAGTGAGAAAAGCATTGCTCTTTTCAAACATGACAATGACATTTTATAAATGTTAATTAACAGAAATTCATGGTGTGAAAAAGTGGCCAAGAGAAGCAAGCCATGAGGATAGAGTTTTGCTCACTCATGAAAGGCTTATTACCACAAATAGGTTGTACCTTTCACCTAACAGGTATCAAGTGTTTTGCAGACCATGTGAAATGTGTGTTTGTTCACCACTCAAATGCAGCTGTTGGAGAGAAGGAAAAGAATGGCTGCTTAACAGCCTACAATGACAGTCTTCACTGGTTTAGAGCAGGAAATGAAGACAATTAATATCCAGTTGAAACCAGATGGCATGTTAATTAGGCAAATAGTAAGCTAGTCCGCTTTCTTTTGAGTACTGACTGTGGTTGATGCAGGTGTTGTGACTGAGGAATTACTTCATGTTTGGTTTTCTCTATCTCTGGTCAATACTGTCCCAATTTCAAATGTTTGCCTAGTCTCTTAAAGCAAAATCGGTCACATTAATCTTGCTACATATAAAAAGCCTCAAAATAAGCTAAAAAGATAAAATGCATAGAAGTTCCTCATCCTTTGCAGTTGTGCTTACTGTAAAGTAGATACCCCTCAAGGGGACCTGTACAGCCTCCTCTATAACATCCTAAAGACACATGGAATTTGGCAAAGGGTCATGGAATTTCTGGCAAATAGTTATGGAATAGCAGAGCTTTATTTTGATTCTTCTGCTGGTCTTGGAGAGTGACCTCTGCTAAAATAACTCTGTAGGAAGGTTACTAGCAAACACATTTTCATAATCTATTAATGGGTGTGAGGAAGAACCTTGTTTCCCCATCTGACAAGGAAAGTTGTGAAGTGGTTGAAAATCTCTCCTAGGTAAAAATACTAAATAAAATTTCAGTTTAGTCCAGTGAAGGACCATTGATACAGTAACTTCAAAATATTTCTGAGGGGTTTTTTTCCCCTCTGCTTTTCTTTACATTTTTGGAAAATAGTCACTACAGGATTGAAGGTTCAGGTTTATTTGCACGCTGCACCCCAAATCTAGGATATGCAATAAAATAGCTGCACTCTTTTTGTTGCTAAAGGTATAAACCACTGGAGATGCTTATATGGTGTCCAGCAGCCTGCCTGTCCACAGTGGGATGAACCACACCAAAGAAATAGCTATTATGTCTGTGAAATTCCCGAGTGCTGTGATTACTTTGGAGATCAGCCCTGCACCCAAAGAGGAGCAATAACTGCATTATTGGCCTTCCCACTGGTAAACATCCCGAGTTTGGCTGACTGTGAGGGGGTGTGGAGGTCCAAGCATAATGAAAGGTAAGGATTGCCACCCACTTAGGCATGGTGGCACACCTCTCACAAGTGTGAGGAAAAACCTGTTGATGTAAGCTCCCTTACAGGTGATTAACCTTTGAGTTTTATTTTATGTTAGGTATGTATGCTTGTGATTTGTTACTCTGGGTCACCAGATACATGATAAATTGCATATATGAATTTATTATATTAATTTTCTGTATATATAGAATTTCTCTTTCCAATATAGATAAAATAAATGCAAAATTTGCAAGTTTTCTCAATTCACAATTCATTCTCAGCCGTATCAGATCAGGCTACATATTTTTCCTTGATTAATATTTCTGTTCTAGTAACATTCCTCTCTACTGGAATGAGTGCCAATGATCTGCTCATGTCATTCTTTCTCCCTCAGTTTTTCTTGGTTTGTAAAGGGAAGATGAAATCTTCCAGATGAATCAGTTACTGTTTTTAGAGTACCTTGAAGTATTCACTAAAAGGTGCTAGCACAGAAGTGTTGGGCATGGAGACAATCAGAAGTGCTCAGAATGTTCTTATCAGTGCTTATTAATCACCATGTAAATTTATAGTGCTGGGCAAACATTTCACAGTGATAAGGCTTCTGTTTTAGCATTAGACTTTGCTTTAGCATTAGACATCAGCTTTAGTGCTCACCAAGGAATAGGATCTACATGCCCCACTTCCTGTCATGCAGTACTGCATCATTTCGACTCTGCAGAATGTACTTATAGAAAACAGAATGCAATTTAAACCTGCAAGATAATCTCAAAACATTTCAGGGCCATGTTACAGATAAGTCTGTGTTACCCATTGTGGCTTAATTATAATTTTAAATTAAAGTTAATATAATATATATCCGGATTATCTGTGTCTGGGGTGTGTTGATGTGCTTGCTCCCAGAAGAAAAATGCTGATGTTATTTTTTTTAATTAAGAGCAGGTGAGTGTAAACAGAAGAGCAGGCTGTCTTGCAACAGGGTAGGTGGGATCCCTTCCAGTGATGCTTTGTGTCACAGTGTAAATGCTCAGAGAGAGATTGTTTGTGGGAGAAGGATGTTAATGTGGATGAAACTACACACAGAGAAAATTTAGTAGAAGAGGAGGCACAAGATGCTCGATGTGAAAGCAGTCTGGGAAGGCTGGAGATGGACTACACCACAGAGCAGCTGTTTGCATTGCAGGTGGGCTTCCTAGGGTGGAATTTAACATTTCTCTTAGGTTTTAGAACCGGAACACATCTAACCTAGTTGCTTTTAAAGAGCAAGTGTACACATTATTGTGCACTAGGTTTTCCCTGTAACAACAAAGTGAAGAAAAATGTATTGGAAAGCAGGGCTGATCTCCGTGTTTCAGAGTGCAACCCAGCTTCTGACAGAGCTCAGGATGTCTCACCCTTGTGTGCCTGACGGCCAGGCTGAAAGAATTATTACTGATTTCTCTGAAGCCAATGGACTTGACCTTTGCAGGGCTGTAGTGATATGCTACAGGAAAGGACAGTGGGGTCCAATCAGTCAAAAGATATTTTTTCCTCTGCACATGTGAGTGACGGCTGCCCTTTGGATAGGGATAACTTGAAAAGATTTGATCTTCAGTACAGAGTGAAGAGGTTTACTCCTAATACAGGCCATGTATGTCTATGATGTGTTTTGTAATGTACCGAGTCATGGCTCTTATGATACTATTCCAAGATGTAGGGCTTTTCCTTGTCTCTGACTGGGACATTTAAACAAAATGTCATGGATTTACAGAATAAAGAGATGAAGTTGGTGTTTAAATGAAGATTAAGACTGGGGAGTTTCTATACATGGTATCTGGATCTGAGGCATTGCCTGTGTTTCTATGGTGTAATGCATTGCCAATTCTGGCAGCACATGCAATGTTTACCTCAGTGTGAGTTGAGATCACCTACAGAGAGGCTTTCAGTCCTGATGTGCTTCACTCCTTCCAGAGCTGCATTAGCAGTGGTTGCATAAGGTGGGCATGTCAGGTCAGACCTAGTCTGGCATCCCTGCAGCAGGATCATTTGCATGTCCCCCGGTAACCACCTCTGAAGTTTGGATTTGAAACTGTGAGATCCCAGCATGAGATATAAGGCATTAATGCTTGACCAGAATTAATTCTGAATTGATAGTCTCAGAGCCTGTTCTTTCTTTTTCACTATTTGGCCTGGGCTGACAGTAGTGGAAGGAATCACAGTGCCAACGGCACTGCTTGTTTGGGGACACTAAATATAGAATGTCAATGATGGACAGTATCAGCTTGCTTTGGTGGTATCCATGCTTGTTTTTTACTTCTGAGGATTCTGTGTTAGATCTGACTCACTCTTTCACTGGCAGTTTCCATTGGACCTTCTTAATGGTTATTTGCACCTGCAGCGACTGTCAAATAAAGGCCACCCAGGTTAATGGTGTTTACATTTGCAAGTGAGAGGTGACCTATATTTAATGAACAAATGTAAAATTGTGTCACTGTACTAGCAATATTGTGCTGCAACCTGTGTTGTTATCATCTTCACACCTATGTGTGTTCATTTCTCTCCTACTTCTTGTCATGACCTCTGTGACCTTGTGCTTCCACATTGCAAGCTAAACTGTGAGAAGGAAAGCATGTAAAAATTCATGCCTCATTAGAGTTCATCCAAATGGGAGGAAGAAGCAGGATAAAGCCAATTTGGAATCTTTGGGAAAACAAATGTTGGGTTCTAAACAGATTATCTGCCATCCCCTTTAACTAATCTTCCTGTCCCCATGTTTCCATGGCCAGTATTGACTTCAACTTTCAGATGCAAAGATCAAGGCAAGCATCTTCATGCCCTGGCAGCTGAAAAAAATCCATCAATATAGTGCATCTGAAATGATGAAGTCTACCAAGCTTCATCTTGTGCTAAAATCTTTTGCAATCATTGTATTTTATGATACTGGTAACATAAATAGTATTTAGTAGAATAAGTAGTGATGAGCCATATGCAGGTTAGGAAAAATAAAGATGAATTATATTCCATATTTTCTATGTAAACTACTTAGGATGGCAACTTGTGCTTTTTTAAGGAACAGTAGTTCTGGAGCTGTTCGTACAGTGCTGCCTTCTCTGGCAGATAGACCTTTCCACAGTCACCTCTGGCAGCTATTTTTCTGTTGTGTTTTGTTTGCTTGTTTTTAACAATAAACTATTTCTGGATTGTAGGGAGACAGTGATCCAGACTGGGACAGGCAGCAGGGCTGTGCCCATCCTGCAACCACAGCTCGCTGGGTCACGAGCCCCACTCAGTACAGTAGCAGGCACCTGAGACATGTATGCCCAGAGGCTCCGTCCCACGGCGGGCAGGGAGGTGGCCTGGGAATTCGCAGGCACACTTCACAGCTGCTGCAATCCTGCAAGGTTTGTTTCAAAGCAACACTTGTTGCATAAGCAGGAAAAAAATTCATCAACCTACCAAGGAAACTGAGTTCAAGGATTTCTGCACAAAATAGCCACAGTAGGACAGCAGTGAATGTTGTAAAGGCAAGGCAAAAGAAGCAGGCTTTGGAGAAGCAGCCCATGCGTTAATCTCATTTGGCAAGCACAAGAAGGTAAAGCCACTTGGCGGGTGTTGAAACGCGGGGCGTTAGTGGGAGGAGGGAAGAGGAGAAGGAGACAAAGCAGCAAACGTGGGTGAAAAACCTGCCCTGTCATTATCTCTGATCAAAATACCCTGTGGAGCACGAAACATCCAGCAGCTCCGCTCTGCTTTGGGAACTGGGAGCACTGGGGAACACCTGGAGGTGCCGGACCCGCCTGTGCCCCGGCCGGGCGATGCCATCCCGGGAGCGCCCTCGGCTGTGCGCGACCGGCAATAACAGCGCGGGGCCGGCAGCGCTCGGCTGGGGCTTGTCTGAGCCGCTTATAAACAGACTGAGATTACGCCTAGGGGAGGAAGGGGAGTCCATGGAAAAGGGGATTCTGTAATGCATGCGTGTTCTAGCTCTGCATTATCTTCATAGCAATGACCTTTCGCAAAGAACAGGGAGCTGAAAATCCTAAACTTAACAGAATTATTCAGGAGGCTTCCTCTCTACGAGTGATAGCAAAAATTCTATAATGTGCTGATGCTTCAGTTTGTACAGACACAGGTACACCTACTGTGTTCATTAATTGGAAGTGTAACATCTGTAGTCATTCACATTTAGGATCCTGGACATTTAATGGAAAACATCTAGGAATGTTTCTTACCCTTTCAAGATTTTTTTTCAATATTGTTTAAGTAATTACTGGATGTAAGGAATCTACTGTTCTGCTTGTTAGGGAATTGTTTCATGCCCTGATATTTCCTGCCCTGTAGAAACCACGGTTTCCCTTTCTAATGATTTCTTCTTGCTGTTTAAGAGTTGTTGTTACTCAGGTACAGACCTAACACCTGAACCCTATTGTGTCTGCCACCAGCTATGTCAAGACAGGGTAAAGCTCATTAGCTTGTTTTCCAACCTCAGATGTGCTCAATATGCATCCACACCATGCAGCTATGTAGCACTGAGCCCGTCCAAGTCAGCAAGATATCCTGCTCCTACAGGGTACTCTGCTTAATTTAACCAATCAATACCAACAATGGTATTGAGAAGCAGGAAAGAAATGTCAGGTAATTAATTCTGAGTACCTTCTAATTATTGCTACATGAAAAGCACCCTTTTCTCCCATCCTTGACATGTTTGGCTAGTTTTTATTTTGTTCAAAGACTTCACAGAACAAACTAGGACCTTGCAAGACCAGGCCTGGAGGGGAGTTTGGTACCACACTGAGATGGACAGGGAAGGGGGACCCTGAAGGTAAATTTGACTTTGAAAAAATGCTGAGTTTGCATATCCTTGCATTCCTTATAGAAACAAGTACTATGGGCATCACAACTCTTTAAAAGGAGATGTCAGTAGAATACATAACCCATGGGTTTTCACTAGTTTAAAATGCCAGCATAGAGTGGGGAGAGGCAAATCTGCTTTGGGTTTCTCCAATATTTGAGGCACAAAGCTCATG